AGCTGCTCGACTCCTCAAATGGCCAGCCACCGTCTCCTTTTATAGCCCCCAAGGGCCAACCCTAGATCGACGACGGCTTGGACCTGCAGGTGCGGGCGGCCTGCCCATGGCCGGCACTGGCAGGGCGGGCAGCCAACCCCTGGGCGGCGCGGGCGGTCAGTGCTGCCACCGCCTTGCCGCCGGCGCCTTCTCCCTCACCGGCGGCCGTGGCTGCTCCTCCCCCACCTGCGCCCTGGCGGCAAGTCCACGACCAAGAGGCATGAGCGGCTCCTTTCTATCCGTCAGCTCCACCTTCGTCGAGACCGGATCCATCATCACCTCACCTTCGTCCTCTCGATCACACTGGAAGGCTGCGCCATCGGTAGATCTGGGAGCAGATGATGTCATTTGCAACTCATATGCTTCTCCATACATGGCAAACAGGGAGCAAGAAAGCAGTGACTGGGATCTTTTTCCTCTCTCGAACAAGTTCCGATGGAATTTTGATGGATTTCCTATACTAGTTCCGATGGATTTTTTATTGATTTTTATTTGTACAAAATTTTGATGATTTTGTTTGTAGACGGTTATTGATTTTTGTATGTACAAAGTTCATAGATCGCTGTAAAAATATTGATCTATGAAAAACTTTAGTGAGGTGAATGAATTTTGTTATGTTGCGTGCATAATTGTGTGCGATATCATATTCATGTAAAAGCAAGTTAAAATATTATCAGCCCGGTCGGGCTGTCTGATGTTTTCTGAGCCGGCTGATTCTGTTTTTTTAGCGAGAGAAAAACACTGTACCATGTCTGATAAGCCGGGATTGTTCGATTATGTGACTGTTACCAATTCTTAAGGCTACAATAACAAAATAATTACTATGTACTTAATAGACGGAGTTTTGTACAGTTGAAAATCATACATTTACACATCAAAATGGCGCCCAAAATACCAGCGACATTACTGGAACCGTAAGAGGGGCAAAATTGTCTTTTTCCCTGCTAGTTAACACCGTTAAGTGCCCAAACCAACGGAAGCATCGATTAGGGAAGAAAATTTTCAGTTTTGTACAAATAGGGGAAGTTTTGAACTTTGGGTGTTAAATAAGGAGCATGTGTTTTTTTGTTAAATAGGGAATTTTCTCTTATAAATACGGGTGGCGGCTTTGGATCCTTCATCCGAACACGCATAATAGTACCAACATTTATATAATCCTTTATTTCTTTTTTGAGTAGGGGACCAATTCTTTCAACACAAATCTGACTTGGATTGTCTGAAAGAATTTATCATGCCGATGCTTCCTTCTTTGAGTAGGGGACCAATGCCTACTTTAGTTATGCAATAATTCCTCATTAGTAAACTGAGCTTGATCAAGTACTTTGAGATACTTTACTACTACCTGAAACATGATTCTAATTGTTCTAATATAGCACATCTCCATTTTCTCAGAACTAACGTATTCTTTTTCACAGGTAAAAGCGTAGCAAGAACTGTGCTTTCAATAGTTGTATAGACATGGGAGATATGAAGCATAACCAAGGTTTGAACGCTGATATTGACCCCATAACCCCCAAATAAAGAAAGAAGATTCAAAGATTAGTAAATGATCTTAAGCAGAAAAAAGGTATCATTTGTGAATGATTAACACCAGAAAGAAAACTGAGGAATAAACAATGTGAAACCGTGTATATACAATATCTGAGCACCTTCTGTTTCATAGTCAAACACCAGAACTTTCAGTGTTAGTTTCGGATGCTACCTAAAGCTAGGACTAGAGGCGTACTTCTCCAAACCATGAACTGTCAATTGGTTTGCATCAATGATGAGGTTGAAGCAAATCATGCATGGTGGTTGTTCAGATAAGTAGAGTAGAGTTGGTGCTGATTGCGAACATCTGGGCCCTTTTCTCATCATTAGCAGAGTGGGGGAATCTTTCATCAGTTGGATCGCACTTGCATTCTTCAGAAGTTAGTCAGGTATTTGACGTGACATGGAAAGATCAACTTATTTTTCAAAAAAAAAGTACAATCGCTGTGTATATAATTCAGGGAACCTTTTAAGCAGTTTCACACAACTGTCTGTTAGCTAATTGTTTTATTTGTTTAGGAAATACGTCTGAACTCGGCACAATGATATTGATGTCACTAAGTTTCCATGTTCTTCCATATAGGCACATTCCAAACTAATGAAGTATGATGTCAGTGCTGAAAGCAGCTGAGGGCTTTAGAATGTTACAGTTTATACAGGTTTAACCAGACAGTACAATCAGAATACCCTGACCAGCTGCTGTCACATGTGCTCATACCCTTTGCTTTAGTTTATGTCAAGAACGACAACATAAAGAAAACCTGCCCTCAGACTGATTAGTACATTCAAACTAACCCGGCGAACACGCTAAGCCATGCTTAGACACTGATCCAACCTCCTATATATTGTCAGTAGCACCCAGCAGAGGGAGCAGAAAGCAGAGGCAGAGATAGGCAGCTACATCGACTGACAATGGGGGAGCAAGGCAGGTCAAGTAGCAACAAGATCAGAGACATTGTGAGGCTGCAACAACTTCTGAAGAAGTGGAAGCGGCTTGCACTCTCACCAAAAGCCGGCAAGAGCAGCAGCAACCATGGTGTTCCAAAGGGTTTCTTTGCAGTGTGCGTCGGCATGGAGATGAAGAGGTTTGTGATCCCCACGGAGTACCTAGGCCACTGGGCATTTGAGGAGCTCCTGAAGGAGGCAGAGGAGGAATTCGGGTTCCAGCATGAGGGGGCTCTGAGGATCCCCTGTGATGTGAAGGTGTTTGAGGGCATCCTGAGGCTGGTGGGCAGGAAGGAGGAGGCGGTGTGCTACTGTTATTCACAGCCTGGGATCTTATGCAGATGATGAGTTTCTTTCTCAACATCTCCTTTTTTTTTCCATTCTTGGTTCTTGGTGTTCCATGGAGAAGAGAGGAGGAAGAGTCCACAAATTGACAGGATTTGCAAATTGATACCGGAGGATGAAATGTGGGATTCACATTCTTTTTGTGTAAGATTTTAAAATGAAGGATTTGCTCCAACCTCCAAGCAGATTGCGTAAATGTCTCCTTTTCTTAAGAATTCATTTCCACCTTGTTCTTTGTACTTCAACTTTAACTTTCTTTTTGTAATTGTTCAGAAGTTGAACAATGTTCTTACACACATAATTGATGCATCCTCCTCGCTCACCTCTTTGCAATGATGAGGTGGCAACTATCATCAGTCATTCTGTCCTTAGCTTCTTCATTCAATATCCAATTTAGTTCAGTTTTGAAAGATAGAAAAGTTCAGTCCTGACTACCAAGAATCCTATAGGGAAGTCAATGCTTTAACTTAAGAGATCTGTGCCTTAGAATAATATAACTTAATATACCTCTGCCTCTTGCTGCACACAGTTTGCTAAAAAATGATGCTACAGGTCTACAGCACATTCTTTACTCTTAGACTATGTTACTGAGACTCATTAAAGAGAGTTCCAGATCAAAAGAAATACATGCCGTACAATTACACATGGCATGAGCACTAGATCACAAAAAGCATGAAATCTTCTTCACATGCACTTCCGACAGATATTTGCAATCTTTTTTCAGTTCTGCCAGCTCAAAGAATATTATATCTTGTTGCAACTGGAAGAACAGCAGATCTCTGCCATCCTGTTTTCTGAACAAATCCGGACAGCACTTGGACAGATGACAAATGTAGGCTATCTTGGTTCTAGAGCCTGAACTGAAGACAAAGCTGAAGTGCCATTTGTGGAGAATATCAGTTATGTTTTCTTTCAAGGAAAGATGAATTTGAATGAAATCACACACACTCAACTCAGGATCATCCGGCGACATGCTTGCACAGACAGTGTCACTGAAAGTGGGCCATGATGGCAAATTGTGTGCCGCTCATATATCACAATTCATAAGCATGACAAGTTTTTCAAATGCCATTAACTATTGTTGTTGATAATATGCAACAACAATAGTTACATTTTTCAAAATGTTGATAAATGTCATTAACTACTGTTGTTGAAAATATCCAAAAACAGTGTCACTGAAACTGGGTTTGATGCTCAAGAATATGCAACAACACACAGAAAAAATGCCTTAAATCATGACTGGAAATCTTCATATTAACCACAGGAAAACAAAGAATGAATTATTCCTTTAATTGTTTCATGCCACCATTTTCAGAGCTCTTACAAAACAAACACTACTCCACAAATCGATTATCTACTGCTCCAAAGCTAATGCCTAATGATTTGACTGACTTGATCTAATCAAGTCAGTTTCAGCTGCAAAGAAAGAATCCTTGCATTGCACGTCTTCATGGCCTGCAAATTCTGCATGACTGCATGCATGGCCGCCTGGCTTGCTACCAAGACCTGGCCTTGGGCAATTTGGGCTCCGCCGCCGCGGTGGCTCTGTCGGTGCCGGACTGGGGGCGCCGGCGCGCCACGGCGGACTCGAGCTCGAGCGCGGCGACGGTGGCCTCGAAGTCCTCCTCGCGGCACGGGATGCGGATGCCGGCGGCCTGCGCAAAGCCGAACTCCTCGGCGGCGCGCTCCATGAGGTCCCGGAACGCCGGCTGGCGGAGGGTAGGCCGTGGGCACGACGAACCGGCGCGCCTCCGCGCCCACGTACACGGCGAAGTAGCGCCTGGGCACCGCCGGCGGCTCGGCCTCGTCGAGCAGCGCCGGGCCCAGGCTGTTGTCCCCGCCGCCGCCGACGCCGCGGAGCCCCCGCTCCGACGCCTGCTGCTTCCTCTTCCTCCCTGTTATATGAAATGAGCACAATATCGTGCCAGTTCGTTCAAAAATAAAATAAAGCTTGCGGCAGGCAACTTTCTTTGAAAACTTGTAGTCCTCTTTCTTTTTTTTTTCTTTTTTTTTGAAGGCACACAGATACAGGCATACAGCAGCAAAATGGCAGCTTTGGCATGTGTGACCAATCAGCTGCCAACCACTGTTACATATACATTCAGTTAGTTAGACGGCGGGGTTTCTGCAAGATGCGGAAATCAACAGCCAGCAGCCTTGAGGAAGTTGTCGTAGGGGCTGGACGCTGGCAGCCTCAGGAACGGCTGCTGGACGTCGCCACCAACCTGTGCCTCGCCGGCACCGATGCTCTGCAGGAGGAACGGGTTTGTGTTCTGAAAACAAACCGGCAGCAGTTAGCGTCATTCTCACCCATCCCCATCGCATCTCACCCCCGAAGATATTTTTTCCCGGTTTACAATCAAGCGCCCGAGGAAACACAAATTACGAGCTTGAAACTAAGCTGATCCACGCACCTGTTTGTCGGAGGCATGGGCTGCTTCAGCGAGGTAAACCTGATTGTCAGGCACGATGGTGGCCGCTTGCTTGTTTTGCTTGAAGCTCATGAGTAGAGACATCTTGTGGTGCTTTCCCATCGAAAGGGCCTCGCAGTGGCTAGTCATCTCCTGGAATGGGATGTCTCCGGCCGTTGACACCGAACACTGCCCTCCGGTCTGAGATGACGTGTCATTCACGACCTGTAATGTGCACACAGATGGTGGTATAAACAAACAAACGAAGAGAGAAGAGTGGAACAATGAACTTTGAGAGAGAGAAAAAAAGAACATACTGTTTCTAGAAGTTCATCGATACTGAGAAGATTTGTTGTGGGCACAGGAATAGCTGTAGCGGTCAGTGTAGATGAAGAGACTTCCGCAAAAGTAATGCTGTCATTTCTCAGATCGATAAGTTCAGCCTGCTCAAAATTTCCATGTACCTTTAGGATGGAAAAGAAAGTAGACATATATATAGGTGATACACATATACCTCTTGATAGTCGGTGTCATCATCAGAACTTGGCCGTGCAATCTTGCCAGGTGATTCAAGAAAGTGAGCACTAGTTGGGCACATGTCATCAGGGGAGAAATCACATAGCAGTTGACTCCTTATATTCTCTAACTCCAACTGCAAAAGTTATGGGGAAAGTTCATCCACACATTCCATGGTATCAAGTTCAGGCAAATATAAGAAATGCTTACGAAGAATGGATCGAAAATTACATCTGGTAAATCTCTTATGGAGTTCATAATGGCAAAGACCATGGATTCTCGAGAGCAACTATTTGTTAGTTCCACTGCTGAAAGAGACTTCAAGGCATTCTGATTGTCCTCAGGTGAGTCATAGAATGTTGATGGATCTTCTGTATAGTCCTTCACAACCTGAAGTTTGTTCTCATGTACCAAATGAAGGAATGGATCCATCTACAACAGTTGCGGTGCATAAAGCTTAGAACTTTCATTGATTTAAAAAAACATATGGAAGCAACAAAAATGACATGAAGAACGATAATGCATTATTAATGTATAATATAAACATGCACACGGTATGCTTTGCATCTAGAAGAAAAGTAATTGGGTGCAATCGAAAAGTAATTGGTGAACACAAAAAGGTTGTGTTCATTTGATGAAAAGCACATTCACTTTTGGGCACTATTCTGCTAATCACGTGCAGAAGTGCGGTGGTATTTGTCATCTGAGCACACCAGCAGATAAATTAATCTATCTGTACCTTATCTATAAGCTTGTCAGATTAAATTCCCCAACTCCTTATCTATTAGCTTCAGTCGTTCAATCTATCATTTCTCAGGAGTCAGAGTCTATTTAAGAGGATAGAACATTCATTACATGATCAAGCAAAAGCATGAATAAATCAAGTCAACCAGTTTCTCAGTCTGTGCTTTTCTCCCCCTATCAACACCCTCCTTCCTATGACATCATTCTGAATCATGTATATTACTGTCCAACATCACATATACGGATATTTACCCCCCATTATGTAGAACATACACTGCACGTATAATATACCGAACTCTACCAAAAACAAGGAGGCTTGATTGAAGAGGCGGAGGAGTGGAATTCGCTCAGACATACCGTTCTATCATTGAGCATTGATTTACATATTGGGAGAAGAGTCGCCACATTGAAAGCTCTTGAGGCAAAAACAATCATAGATGTAGCCAGAGTAAATAAGGACCGGCGGCGAGATGGTGGCAATGAATCTAAACAAATGGTTAGGTAGTTATCAGAAACCAAACTAACATGTACTTTAGTTAACTCTAGGCAAATGATAAATTGCTTCACCTGTTCCTCCAAGTGAATGGCTCATTAAAGAAAATGCAATCTGAAAACTGGGAGCAAGAGCCTCAAAAATTGATGTCTGGAAGAGCAAAAAGGAAAAAAATAATAAACAAAGAGAATAATGTTCTCAGTGATGACCATTCCAAAAGAGCATCATGTAACTGAGGATTAAAAGATGTGGTGACTACTTAAAAAAAGAGAAAGCAATAAGCCGTATGAGAAAGATCACGCATGATAATATACAGTATCATCATTTTAATAGAAAAATAATCAAATCAAACAAATTGCAGGAAGAATAGCAATTCTCAGCAACCCAGATAACAATAGGAACAAAACAAATGGCAGCTATAAAAATTAAGTACCTTTGATCCCAAAAACAATAGAAGCAAACTATATGTATGAGCAATAGCTTCATAGTTTTGAGGAGTATTTTTTGGAGAAAGAGCTTGACACCAAATAGATGAGAGCAGAAGAGTGGCCTGCTGGCTGCTTAGTCTTAACACAGTCATTTCCTGAAAGTATCCAAAAGTTAGATAAAAGGAAGTGAATAGCAGAAAAACTTTGTTCAATTGTTACTAGCCTGTAAATTTCTGAGCACAAGGTTCAACATGCTGGATTTTTTTTTCTTTGGAGGGGAACGAAAAGGTTGCTCATGGCAGAACATACCGTTTCGTTGATTGACTCTGTCGAGGGACTTTGACCTTCCTTTAAGGAAGCAGAAGAATATTTCCGAGACACTGAAGAAAATCTGAGGTTTTGTCTCAAGCTTTGCGAGCCTGGCAAGTCATTGGGAGTAGCAGTTTCATCATCAATACCATGCAAAATTCTGTTCATGCTTCCTTCATGTAAATATTCTCTAAAGGAGTTTTTGTCCCTTCTGAGCTTATCAAACAAAGCAGCTGAAGATGAGAAGACAGATACAGCCCTCGAGAGTGTTCTCTGGACATCATGCTTTCTACACTGATCTAGGTATTTCAAATTGGGAAAGGGAGAAACAGAAGATGGGACAAGGACAACAGAAAATATGCGGTGTGCACCAACACGTGTTTCATGATCAGGGTGAACCATCGCTAACAGCAATTGATGAAAAAGTGCTTCTGGAAATACCTGACAAGTATGACACAGGATAAACAGTTGAAAAATCACTAAGAATTACTGCTAAAATGAATTCAAAGTTTGTGCTCCAACAGCATACCTTGTTCTGATACGACAAATTTGGTATTGAAGCGATTATTTGAGCTGTGCGATAAACAGCTGAGGTAGTTGCTATAGCAACAAGAGGAGTGCGTGATATGTTCTCTAGCATCACAGACATCATGTCAAGAACTGGCCCAGCATCACCTACCTGATCAACAACACCAACTAAGTTGTGATCTCATATGAGCAATATAACGCTATAATATTATGCAAACCAAGCTAGCTAAGAAGTAAGAAGCATAATACTGGCATCAAATTAGCAAGGGAAGAAAAGGTAAAGAGCAGCAAGTACAAATCACTGGTAAAGTTTCAATTGGAGGAAAACTGACCTTCTTTGACAGCTGGATTATGCATTCATCAAAAGCCTTGCGGAGTTTGTCATTCCACTTTACTACCTCCAAATCTTTGCTGCCGAGAGCTAAATGCAGTGTCTTTCTCATATGCCTCACAAGATCACTTATAGCAACCATGGTTGCTGCTGAAGCCTGAGCTCTTGATTGTTCTGCAAGAGCAGCTATCACTTCCACAATGCTGAGTTGCATCTCAGGTTGCTCCAGTATGGCCTTGTGTTCAAGATGCTTTACTAGTACTGATATCATCAAATTAATATTTGTCCCTGCAAAAGCCAGTTGTAGCTAAATAAGTAAAGTAGTCATGTTAATGGCAAAGGTTTACTTAATGCGAATAGAGCACCTGAGTTTTCCATGAACATTTGCATGTCCAATAGAACACAATGTGCAAGACCATTCTTGGATGACCATGAATTAGTATTATCGAAGTGGCGAAATAGGGACTCCATAACTCGGCGGAATGTGGTTGCCTCCCTGGACAGCTTGGCCATGTTATGCACACAGACTCTTGACCAAAAATAAGGATCCTTGGCATCGTCCCTACAAGACAGGAGTCAGTTAAGAACTAAAAAACAAGAGGAAATGACAAACTTAAGTTCAAAGAATGTTATATTACATAAGCAGTTGAGTTCCTCCATAGTCACTAATTATGCTCTCCCAAGAAGGTATCACAGAAAATATAAATGCAGATGGAGAGGCATGGCCCTCGGTTTTAAGGACCTCTTCCACCCACTGACAACCTGGATTTTCAGTGGCGCTATTGTCACTTTGCACCTTTCGAGGCTCATAGCTTTCCAATACTACTTGGACAACCTGACAATTATAGTGAAAATCAAGTATAAAAGTTTAAGAACACAATATATTATCGCAAAAAAAAATCTGCTCATAGAAAAAAGGTATAGCATTCAGTAAACATATAGAAGCAAAAGTGTATCACAGCTTGAAAACATTGAGCAGATCTGCATAACTAAGCAACATTCCTAGGTTGTATAGGGTGATATTCTGACTGTCATACATGAGCAAACATCTAATCTAACAATAAGAAAATAATGACAGTCTGAAGTTTCAAGGACAGATAAGTAAAACAGAGAAACTACAAGAACTACTGCAAGATACTTACGCTATCAAACTCTGATGAGATATGAGAGAGCTCACCCATAAACCAGATCTGTTCAGCATATAAAATGAACAGTATGTTAGTGCTGGAGCATATTTTGGATTGTACTTTGCGTTGCTTTTTGGTTAATAACTATATGTATTGTAAGAAGAATACAAAAGAAAACCAAAAGTGGACCAATCTTTGGAAAGACACAAAAATACTCAACATGTCCCCATTATTGTAATAAATGCAAAAGAAAACCAAAAGTGCAGCATTAAAAAAAATCAAGGTTGTAAACTGCTAGAATTTCTTATTGGGGTTCTTAGCCAGTTTTAGCAGAACTGTAAAGAAAAGAATGGAACCCTTAGGTATATACCATGAACAATTGCCAAGCCAACAACTATAAACAGAGCTTTAAGAAATGCACCTAATTGTGATGAGAATAATCATAATAAGTTTGATTGGGCTATACTTTAACACTGCAAGAAATTTTGCCAAATCGTGGGTCCACTAACAACTTTATGTTTTTTATCTGAGGATTCTGAGCTGAAACAGCATCTAATATTACTTGAGGAGAACATGGTAGCATAGTGAATAGATACAATGATAATTTGTTCATCATACTGTGCAGGAGACTTACCAGAGCAGAGAGAGATTGAAGGACTGCTGCACGGAGTGCATTAGCTTTCTCTTCGTCCCTTACTATTTGAGAAAGTTTGCAGAGTCTTGGAATAAGCTCTTCCAAATTGAACTGATATGTACCATCCACCTGGAACCAACTCATGACTCAGTGACTGACAGAGACTGAAATAGCATCCCGAGTATAAACTAGAAAGGTATCCACTGTCCACTACACAAATTGAATACCTGAGTGACAGTGAAATCAAACAAGGTTTCACAGCCAATGATGCACATGTCATCCTGCCTTGATTGATCCAAAAGTGTTTGTATGATGCTTAATAAGCTATTTGCCAGTAAGGGCCTGCACTGAGAAAATTCACTTTCAGATCTACAACCGATTGAAATGAACTTACAACATGCAAATATAGAAGTTACATGCAAAATCCAAACATCAAGATGTTCATTTTTAGGATGAGATGGATCTGATGCATTGTAAAAATGAATGTGAAAAACAAAACTCACATCTGTTCTTTACAAGAGACCAATAGCCTGCGGTATATTAGCACAACAACTTTCACAAAGCCATACTGCTCATTTCTCAACTCCTTGTAACACCTCTTCTCCAAGTAAGCTGTGATCTGCAGAGACACCAATACGCAAGAGAAAGCAAGTGAACTGGAAGCAACGGATTAGATGCAATTTGTAGGACACTTGAGGTGAGCACACCCCCACCTTTGGCACACGATGAGGATTTCTAGCAACATACTCGCATAGCTTCCCTATCCTCCTCTCATTTGGTCCATCATCCTGTGGCAATGTTGATGAAATTAAGCTTGTTTTCAGACAGAATCAACTGCTGCCACACGTAGTATGGTACAAAACCATCCGTGGAAACTATAGCCCATTTAAGGGTAGCCGAGTGATGTGAACAAACAGAAAGAGGGTCATTATGCCATTGTCATCTCCTTATTGTGGAGAGCTAGAGAATGATCGAAGGATTCCAATGATGGAGACAGAAACATAGTCAAATTGGGACTCTAGGCAGCTCATAATAGGTAATGCACTAGTGTCAATGCCACACTGGTTCAATTCCTTCCAGCATTTCTACACAATGTGAGACCAAGGCCCCATGAAAATGCAGCAAGGAGAGCCATGGAACTGACATAAGCGGACTTGCGGAAGAAGGGGAACTTGTCAAACCTGTTTCGCGGGGAAGATGTCGGCGAGGATCTTCTTGTAGCGCTTGACGGGCTGCCTGGAGCGGGGACGCAGCGAAGGGCAGAGGTAGCAGAGCCCACCGCACGCCGGCAGCACCTTCCTCGACACCACCCCCAAGACCGCGCCGTCGAGCCCCATCCCCGCCCCCGACGCTCCTGCCCGCCGGGAAACCCCACCGCCTTTCTCCCGCCTCGACCTGCATTGTGGCGTGGAGGCGAACGAAATGAGGGAACAACCCTCTTTGAATGGAACACCCGGTCGGATCAGACAACGCGGGGGCCATGAGAAGGCGTTTGCGTTGTTTACCTCCGCTAGCTCGCGGGCGCGGTGGTGCGTGAGTAGGAGTAGACGGCGGGGGGCCGACGCCGTCTCCGATCTCCGCCGCCGCTTCCGACCTCACCTGCGTGCCTCCCTGTCGCCGTCGCGCCCACGACGGCGGAAGGGAGAGGGCGGGCGGCCGCGGCGGACGAAGGGGTGGGAGGCGACGCGCGCGCACGAGCACGAGCGGGTTTCGTGTGGGGAATCGAATCGAATCGAATCGAACGGAATTTCGAGAAGGGCGCGCCGCGTGCGAACCAGATTGTCCTACCTGTCAGCCGTTTGGTAGCCGGCGCCGGCCGGCTAGCATACGATTGGGCCCACGCTGCCTCCTAGAATTCTCCCTGTTTTCTTTTTTCTTTTTCTTTCCTCACACATGTCGGCAGTACAACAAAATCAAGCAGGCTCCAATTGGCGTAATGCCATTGCTTCGTTTCTTATATTTCCCGAACTACCATCACAAAAACAGCTTTAGACACTCCCTCCGTCCCAAAATATATGTTGTTCTTACTTTCCGAAAAACATCTTTGACTAATTTTACATAAAAAATATTAATATTTATAATACATAATTGATATCATTAGATAGATCTTTAAATCTATTTTATAATATATTTATTTAGAGATATAAATATTGCACGTATTTTTTATAAATCTAGTCAAACTTATGGCACGAAAACCCAAAACGACAGTTAATTTGGGACGGAGGAGTATGCAAGTAGTACTAGGGCCTTGTTTAGTTTCAGGGCGTAAAGTTATGAGGTGTCACATTGGGTGTCATATGAGGGATGTTGTATGGGGTGTTCGGATACTAATACAAAAATAAATTACAAAATCCGTCGGTAAACCGCGAGACGAATTTATTAAGCCTAAGTAATCTGTCATTAGCACATGTGTGTACTGTAGCACTTTATTGTCAAATAATGAACTAATTAGGTTTAAAATATTCGTCTCGCAAAGTAGTCGTAAACTGTGCAATTAGTTTTTTTTCTATATTTAATATTCCATGTCTCCAAACATTTAATATAATAGGGTGTAAAATTTTGGGAGAGAAATTAAATAAGGGCATACTCCCTAAATGGTCTGACAAAGTTCTTCCTAGATGGTTAAATCCGGATCCAGATTAAGTGACTTTGCTTGAGCAAGTCACGCCGTAACTTTCTCACCATCTCGTTCGTCCATTCTGCATCCGAATGCGCTAAGGGATGGTCGTCCATTCTTTCCTCACTCGTCTGCTTCCACGACGCGAAGAGCGGGCGGTGCTTGGCGACGGACTCGGCGACACCCTCACGCCCACGCCCACGCAACGCAGGCGCCACCATCCTCGACGCGGCCTCAACTCCTAGACACGATCATGCCCTACGCCAGACGATCTGCTCGCCATGCCGCGGCCCTCCACGACGTCACAATCGCCCCGTGCTCGCGGATGCGCTGCACGTTCGAGTCGACGCTGCTCCTCGACGCTGCGCTGGGCACACCGCAGGCGCCACCTCCTCTGCTCTGTGACCCCGACGCGATGGAGGACCTCCTCTGCTCTGGGGCATCGGCGCCATAGGCAAGACCGATGATGGTGCTCAACCACATCTCCAAGTCTGGCTCTACAACAACGTCCGAGGAGTCCGTGCCGCAACTGCTCTCGCACATGAAGCTTCTTCATCCCGGTGCTGCACGCGCGTCGATCTGCTTGAGTCGGTCGGCGCGCTCCTGTACGACGCCACGCTCCGGGACAGCAAGCTGCTGGGGCCGAGCTGGCGCCCGCAGGGCCTCCGGTTCGAGGAGATTGCCGGCGTGCACCGCACGTATCCAGCAGCTCCGCGGCCGCATCGCCGTCGACGAGGGGTGCGGCGTCGACTACTAAGCCCTCCTTGGGGTGGAGCGTGTCCGTGTCCCTATTCTTCCGAGACCGCACTGTTAAAATTGATCTCATCCGTCTTGACCCAACGGTCGAGACGGACCCCTTGATCGCGTCCTGATCGGGGACGTCCAGCCATCTAGTAGCTGGTGGGCCCCCGTCGCAAAGTGCATATAAAGAGGAGGTGGGGCAAACGGCTCTTGATACGAGGTTCACGGCCGTCGCCACAACCCCACCGTCTAACCCTAGTCCGATCGAGAGGGAGGCACTGCCAGCGACGGGAAGCGCCACTGCTTTTGCCACCACCGCCGGTCTCCACCGCTACACCAACCGTCGCTGCCCGTGCGCAGAGCTTCACCGACGAACCAGCGATGGCCAGGGAGCTCCTCCAACCCCTCTGACGATCAGATGCTCCTACATCTCTCTCTCTCTCCCTCTCCGTACACACCATTTCTACGAGAAACCCAATGAAACCCACTGATCTACACCACGGATGGTCTTAAGATCCTAACAATGGTATCAGAGCCATGGTTGCTAGCGTGTGATCTAGATCGGGGCAAAGAAAAGAAGAAAGAAAAGAAAGAGAAATGAACTTCGGTTCAGAGAAAATGAAACCCTAACCCTAAAGAAATTGGACGGTCTGGGGAAGTCTTACTAGGGCTTCCCCGCCACCATCACTACCGCCTCACGCGGGATGGAGCACCCGCCGTTGACTTGCTGACGCGCGGGAAGAGAATCAAAAGAAAAGAAAAGAAAAAAACGGATTAGATCCTTTCGGATCTGAGCACACAGACTAGGGTTTCCCCTAACCCTAACCCTAACTGGGTGAAGATGGAAGGGGCTCGGTTTCAAGACCGTTTGATCCGAACCCTAAACCCACGACTCGAACTCGGGGAAGAAGAATAGGGCCCAAAACCCTAACCCTAGATCTCCAATCCTATTCCCAATCGGTCAAAACCGAGAAGAAAAATCAAGATTCGAAGAAACAGAAAGGGAAAAGGGGATGAGGAAGAGTCAGTGGGCTTACCTCGCCGCTGCGCAGCACTACTGCCTCGCCGGCACGCGGGGAGAAGAAGGCCGAGCGCCGGACTCAGGCCAAAGGGGCGCCGCAGCCAGGCCGCTCGATGGCAGCGCGCTCACCCGCTAGGGAGCGCGCACGCCGGCGAGGAGGCCGACGACGGCGCCGAGGCCCTGCTCGCTCTCGTCGTCACCTGCTCTTCGTCGGGCTCGCGTGGCTAAGAGAGCAGAAGGGAGAAGGGAAGTGGGAGCTAGGATTTCGGCCGTCGCGGCCGGGGCGTTTTGATCGGCCGGAATGGCCGCTCAGCCGTCGGATCGGCGCGGACGGCGGGGATTGTGCGGGCTGCATCATGGCCCAGGCGAGGTGCGCGGCCGTGGCGCTTTGTCGGCCCAGGCCCACGTTGCGGCCTGGGTGGCGGCGCGTAGGGGAGTGGCAGGCCGGGCTCCGAGTTGAGTTGGGCCGAGCTAGCTTTTGCTGGTTTTTGGGCCCAGAGAGGCAGAATGAGCCTGCAATTTCCTTTTCTTTTTTACAGATTATTGAAAAAAAGGAAATTGGCTCAAAAAAAAATAGAAAAAGTATTTATTTTTTTCCTGTGGATAAAATTCAAGAAAATGAGTTCTTTTTCCCGCTGCGAAGTTAAAGTTTATTATCTTCTCATTAAATTCGAACCAACGGGAGAATTTAATTTGAAGAGCAGTTGTAGTTATTCAGTAAATGATGAAAAGTCAATCCTCCAGTTAAAATTGGAACCAACGGGAAAATTTTAATTGGAGGAATAGTCGATTGATAGTTAAAGTTAAATTATGGTATTGTTATTTTCTGACAACGTTGATGATAACAATATTATAATTCTATGAGTTATATGCTTAAAGTTTAAATCTCTGATGAATTTTGCATTAAAGTGACCAATTTTTCAGAGAAAAGATAAAGATCAAGGAATGCTCTTAAACTTGAGAAATGTATTTTCATGTTTCCGCTGCAATGAAGTTGATTGTCTTCTAATTAAATTCGAACCAATGGAGAATTTAATTTTGATGAGCAGTTCTATGTTTTCAAGATTATTGAGGTTCTATATGTTAATTCCATCTCTGCCCAACGGTGATATGAAATTAATGTAGAAGAATGATGTTTATTCTATTTCTATCCAACGGTAATATAGAATAGAACATAAAGATTTCAAAGTTTAATGAGCATTATTGTTGAATTTTGTTTCAAACAAAGACCTCCATACTTTCATTCTTGAAGGCAGTAAGAGAAATAAGCTGGGTACTTATGACTCAGATGATGAAATGCCTAAGGGTAAGTTATGTATGAAAGAATGCCATTGCTTAAGGAACTGTGTTCTCTTTAAAGAATGGCTTCAAAAGAAAAGAATTCTAGGATATTGATCCAAGAAAAGAGATAGATCAATGAGAATCTTCATTGATAAATGTCTTTTATGTACTCTCTGTGAAGAAGAATTTATTTTTAGTTTCACTTATGAGAGTTGTAAAAGTCATATACATGATTAAACATGTGTGTTAAAAGAATATTCGGATTTATTTCTGAATTTAATGATTGAACATGAGCCAATCCTGGCATTTATGTCCGTTCAAGAGAATTATCTCGCATGGCGGGAAAAGTTTGTGATAGTACCCGCATGGAGGAAAAAGTTTGAGAAAATACCCGCATGACGGGGTAAAGTTGGCATAGTACTTATGTTAATGAATCCTTCATGGCGGGAGAGTTTTGGCATAGTACTAATCTCGCATGGCGGGAGAAGGATGTGATGACTCATGTGCTCTAAGTGTATCCCGCACATGGAGAGAAGTTTGGGGTAGCTCTTATGCTATCCTAGTATTGACCGTACACTCTGATTGTGTCATGGTCATTAAGTACTCAATGAGTTTAAGAACAAAAGAAAGTTGTATGTGAACCAAAAGATAAGAATGATATGCAAGCGTGACTTGCA